GATGTAAATACAATTAGTAATGTCAGAGCAAATATCATGTGTCAGAGCAGAATTCGAACTCTAGACCTCGGATTGTTTTATATTCTCCCTAACCGAATGCGCTACCAGGTCAATGGAAATGTCCATTAGTTATAAGGGAAGGTAACTGTTAAAACGAATAAATAACGCAGTTGAGTCCTTTGGTGTTTTGTCTGCAATGGGACAGGCAAATTCCACGATGCTGAACATAAAGTTCCCATTTTGTTAAAGAGCATAATAAAGGAGAATTGTAGAATTTACATATTTTGTGTTTTTGTTGATTCTGTATCATACTTTGATACACATTTATTGTGGCTGAATGATTATTCCGATCATTGTTAATATACCCATATGTATGTTGAACGTTACATTTTTTTTATCAGCTTAGACTGGTGGGCAGTAGTACGGAAACGTTTAGCGTTTACAGTTTTTGAATTAATTAATTTCTTTTTGGTAACGTTCCCCTTTATAAATTTATAAACAAAAGATAAGGATACAAATGGGGAATATTAGTTTACGGAATAAACAGTGGAGGCTTTGGTAGTTCAGCAGTTGATCTTATTTATGAGCTCATTCAGCTAATGATGGGTTTTAATCAAACGGCGGCTTTGAGATATGTTTTTATGTGGTGAAATAAATAAGCTTGTTCATGTTTATCTATATGTTCTATGTTTCAAATAAATTGTAATTATGATTCTTTTCTACGGCGTTTGTGTGAATTTATTAAGTGCGTTTTAGTCTTGTGACAGAGGAAATGATGTAAATATTACTTTGTTAACGAGTTTAAATAAAAAGCAATACTGGGTGCAACGCTGGAATTTAAATGCTTCGTTTATCGATGGTGTTATTCCGTCTTTGCGTATTGCAGAGTTATCCTCTCTTGTGAGCAGGTATTGATTGTTACGTCATTGGGTTGTGTGAGAAAATTACGTTGTTTTCTCAAACCTTGATCACGTTACTCTCACAAACAAATGACGTAACAATCAATACCTGCTCACAAGAGCAGATAACTCTGCAATACGAAAAGACGGAATAGCAATTACGAAATAGAATTCGAACTCTAACAAAATATGAAAGATTGCATTGGTGTACCCCCAAATATTTACCAGACAATGGACTTCCTTGCAAACAAAGGGATACCTAAAGAGAAGTCTATAAGTAGATCATAAGAGGATACCAAAAAATCAACTGCACTTATTTGATTTCTATATCAAGGGGAAATTTTGAACAAAGGGAAACAAATTACAAAGATACCTCAGAAAAGGCAATAGGAGTATCAGACCAGACATTCCGGAAGGGTAACAGTCTTTTGTTTTCGATGAACAGCCGCTAAAAGCATAGACAATGCAAGTAATTTCATGGCGAGAACCAGAGAAGTGACAACAAAACAAGGCACATTAATAAGCATTAGCAAAAATATCGAATTTCGTTTCACACAAACAAATATAAATATCCCTAATCATACAATGATGGCGATCAAAAACCTCTCCCATATCCTTCATGAACCTGCATGTCTTGTCAATTGGCCCGTCAGCAGTCATCATCCTTCTAGGAGATCAGGATATTTGGCACCAATTTCATCAATTTGATTTGTGTATATCTTACTGTATCAAGGTTTCCTACATTTATATTCCTTTATTTCTCTACGTCTTTTTAAGCATCCTTTATACTGATATCAACAAAACATGTGCAATTACCTAGTAAATGACAAGGTTTCAGCAATTTATAACAATTGATATGACTATATCTTTATAACAAATAATATAATTATAGATTCATAACAATTAATAGGACTACAGATTTATAACAATCAATATGACTATAGATTATCATCAATAAGGAAAAAAAACTTAATCTAAAAAATAATCATGGGAATTTTCGGGTCAATCCGCCTCTTTTTCAAGACAGAACCTTTAGCACTTGCATTTCACAATATATAACAAATAAATCAAAGAGTCACAAGAAAACAATGCTACAGCATTAAATACTTAAAAACAGTTATCAATTATGAGTTATACTGTTTTATCCGCAGGGCCGCGGTGGCCAAGTGGTTAAGACCTCTGACATTCTGCTTCCACTAGCCCTCCACCACTAGGTCGCGGGTTCGAGGCCTACGTGGGGAAGTCGCAAGGTACAGTTTGTATTGGCCGTTGGTCGGTGTTTTTTCTCCGTGAACTCTGACTTTCTTCCACCACCTAAACCTGGCACGTCCTAAAATGACCATAGCTATGTATAGGACGTAAAACACAACTCAAACAATCAAACGAAACTCTTGTTATCGCATATTTTCCCTGTTAGCTTGTTAGGATAGTAATCGTTAAAAATCATCTTGATGACGTTGGATCAAGTGAGTTGATTGACAGAGTCTGTGTAAGTGTAATAAGATCATATATAACTAGTTAATCATGCAAGCACAGCATGAAAGCAACTGCGAAAGGCGGGCTGTTTCTCCACGTCAAAATGGCGGACGGAGTCACTCCCACCCGACCAAATTCTCAATAGAGGTCAGAGAAGGAAATGTGGAATAATGTGACAGTAACTGGATAAAAATGCTGGTATGATGGTTCGGATCTAGTGCATATATTGGACCATACTGTCGTTATTACTCGTGATATCATAAACAACAGTATGTTCCTATATGGGGATTATATCCGAATCGTTATTACTAGTTAGAGCTGGGCCGAAAGGTAAAGGCATCTATCAGTCTGCTACCACTAGCACACTAGATTGCCGGTTCGAGGCCAACGTGCAAGAGGGGCATTAGCCAGGTTTTTTTTCCCTAATGTCAATATTTTTCTCTGGTTATGCCGGTGTTCCTCCACCACAAAAACCTGTTAATTTCATTATAAATAGCTGTTAATATGACGTTAAACAGAAGCAAGCGATTACAGAGACTGATCGACACCTTTGTATTAGCTTAACAGCTGCCATCAACCGCAAACTGCGATAAACTGAGTTAGAAAAAGATATCAAATATAACTGTTTTATGTAAATTAAATATGAAAAAAATAGATCTAAGATATAACTGATAATACATATATCGACTGCTGACGTACAAGCTTACCACACAGGGTTTTCAAAGATGCAGGTTAGGAAGACAGAGCAAGCTTTATGGTCGCAACTTGATGACATCGGGAAAAACAATATAGGTTTTTTCTTTGTGTGAAACAATATGTTTGCATTTCGACATTTCTATTGTGCTCATTAGTGTCCTTTGGTATTGTCACCTCCTGAGTTAAACAATAAGGATTGGCCGAAATGGTATTCATTAAAAGAATATAGAATGTTGCCGACCTTCAGGCCATTGTTATTGACTAAAGGGGGATTAGTCCGCCTATTTGTGTGTTCCATTTAAAATAAAAACACTGCTTATAAATAATCATTTAAGGATTTAATCTTGCTTAGGTGTTTTCTTTGCAGTTAATGTTGAATTTGTTTCAAGACCAGCGTAATTCATTATCCCATGAAATCGACATAAGCAAGATTCAATACTTATAATTCAATTAACATTTGATTTTTAATAATTGGAATTTTGGTGAAAGTCAATTCTGATAGTTTGACCCAGATTTTGAAGCTTATTCAAGTCTACGTATTGACGTACATGAAATGTAAAACATATAGTCCGTCATTGTATGATCATTAACAAAATGATGTTGTACGTTGATAGTTAAAAACAGACAAATTATGAAGAAATAATACACAAAAATAAATCAGGTGTATGAACAACACGTTTAGCAGTGTTCGATATTATGTTAGAGTTCAAGGCTATGTGAGTATCTAGATCTGGATGTGTCTTTTGGAATGCAGAGAAAGTAAACAGATGTACCTACAGGATAATTGTTAGTTATTCTGATTTAACTACTGCCAAACCCTTTAGTCTGCAGTTTTCCATGAATATATATACCAAAACATTCGATGTATTAAAATCTTACGTTTCATTTAAAAATAAATACTTAAAATTTCAAAAGTATGGTCAAAATGTTTATAAAGAGAAATAACAAGTCGTCTAACAATTTTGGAATATTCAGTATGCATTTAAAAATCATATTGATTACAACGTGACCTTGTGTATGTTTCTAGTAGTTTTTGCTGATATTTCATTTGTTTGCTAGTTTTGGATTCATCGTCCTCGCATCATCTTACATTATGCAAGACGGGAATTTAAATTAGAAACAAAATAAAACAAAAAAGGAAGTAGGAGAGGATAAAAGAGAACACCTGTGTGTTTACAAAACCGTTATACACACGAACAATCCATCAAACTAGTGCAACAAAAAATATGAACAAAGGGAATAAACTCCTCAGAAACACTTGAAACTGTCTCAGAAGAATAAGATCGACATGGTGTTCCGGAAAGGCAACGATAACCTAAGTGTATGACGATGTTATTGCTTTAAAATGTTTTGGTACATTGCGTGCTAAACCGTATGGTAAACTATCACTAAAGGAACCGTAATGAAAGCAAATAAACTTTTGTCAAAGACAGAAACAGATGGAATTTATGTCGGGAAATATGAACTTTTTTGTGCAAAATGAAGATGTATTACCCTGCAGTCATACCTGACTATGTAATAAATAGAGATTATCTATTAAATAGCGATTTCTCTGATATCATACTGTATATCATCATGACAAACTGTATCATTGGACATTTACGCGGTTTGGAAATACTCGCGTTTTTCGCTTTGAATAAATTAACGCGTTCCACATTCTATATGTAATATCTAATTAAGTGCGAAAAACTTTGAAATATTTTATCAATTCCACATTTGTTCGCACTCAGCATGTCACTTATTTAATGTTAATGAAGTTAATGTCAGCGCGTGCTGAAACATTCAGTGTTGGTTGGTTAAGCCACTTCCAGCCAATCACGCTTGAATGTTCGCATGGGCGTCTCCTGTAGATGCTAATTAAATGCTGCAATATAAATACAGAAGCTGCTTGGATGTGGCGTATTTTACATTTTAAAAATCTCTTCGACGATGGAACACAAACAGTTGGTCGTAGTTCTGGGAAGCGGCATGGTTGGAAAAACAAGCATACTGTGCAAGTACCTGAACGGAACTTTTTCTCACAAATACACACAGACAGTTGAAGACATGTTCTTGCTGGACGGTTGTATTGATGGTGAACGATTTATTATTGAGTTCTTAGACACATCAGGATCTATTGAATTCCCTGCTATGAGGAGGCTAGCAATACAGAAGGCGAACGCTTTCGTACTCGTGTTTGCTATCGATAGTAAGGAATCGTTTGCCGAGGTGAAACGAACATGGAGGGAGATCAAAACTTCTAGAAACGACCAGAAAGATGCACCTTGTATCGTGATAGGAAACAAGCTGGACAGGGAAAACTACCGAGAGGTGGAGTATTTTGAAGCACTGAACTGGGTTGACAACAATGGTTTGGAAGGAATGATGCAAGAGGTATCTTCGGAGACAGGGGAAAATATTGACAACATTTTTGCAAAATTATTCAAACAGATAAATGCCTTCAAACGTGACAAGATTGCAACCACAAGCCTAATAACCAGATTGGGCAGTTGCCTGTGTTTTAGAAAAGAAAGGAAAGTGTATAAGGTTGTTGGTTAATGCAGAATGAGCGTCCTCTGCGAAAACAAATCAAAAAGTGTTTTTTTATTGCTATTTTAACTTCAATTTTGACACAATAAACGGTTCAATGTTTGGCTGCCGATGACAGCGTCAGGGTTTCTGAGGCTGGTCACTGATTGGTCAAGGGATCCGAGGTAATGCTATTTCACTTTGGGACTTATCCCCGCATCACGCAGCCACAGTATTTGTACGCTCATCAAGCTCTCAGGATAATGAATTTTTAAACCCACCTCTTCCCACCCTTTCTGTTGTCAATATTTTGATTCTTTATTTTAAAGGAGCGAAGGTTGTACATATGTAATGTTTAACATTGTCCAATATTACTATGTACTGTGTATCATTAGATGTATATAATTTGTAACCTAGCAGGTTGTTGCTAGTTTTTGTTGAAGTGAGACAACACTTGCCGACTGGTCAGAGCATTTGGTAAACATACCTGTTCTGATGAACAGGGTTGGGGCAGCCGGCTCGCAGTAATCATGTAAAGATGGATTTGGCAACCCCACCATTGACCAATGTTTGGCGGTTTTTGGCAACCCCACTTGGGCTAGCTGTTATAGGTTGTAGTAGTGACTGCCATGCGTGTGTGGTGTCAGCTACTGGGTTATTCAATTTGTCATATAATTTTCCATATATTATTGATTTTATATTGTCCGTTATCCATATCAATCTAATCTAAAAAAAAAATATATATATATATATATACATAATGTAACGCAAAATGTTGAACAGGACACCTGGCAGGTTGTTGCTAGTTTTTGTTGAAGTGAGACAACACTTGCCGACTGGTCAGAGCATTTGGTAAACCTACCTGCTCTAATGAACAGGGTTGGGGCAGCCGGCTCGCAGTAATCATGTAAAGATGGATTTGGCAACCCCACCATTGACCAATGTTCGGCGGTTTTTGGCAACCCCACTTGGGCAGCTAGCTGTTATATTTTGTAGTAGTGACTGCCATGCGTGTGTGGTGTCAGCTACTGGGTTATTCAATTTGTCATATAATTTTCCATATATTATTGATTTTATATTGTCCGTTATCCATATCAATCCGATCTAAAAAAAATAAAAAAAATATATATACATAATGTAACGCAAAATGTTGAACAGGACTAAACAAACATTTGGTTTATTTGAACATCATATTCATTTCATACTCATTTAAATTATAAATTGTACATTTTATGCATAAATCCTCAAATAAACAAATACAAACTGTAACATTTGATATCTACTTGTTTGTTATTCACATTTCCTAATCAATATGAAAGGTACAGTATCTTATATAAAATAGACAAGTTTCAGTATTATTGATTTTATGTTATCAATTATAAATTAACGATGTTACACACATTCAATTACTTTTTGTGACACTATCTTAATGTGGTATACGATATCTACATAGTTTACTATGCATAACATCATAAAAAAGTGGAATACAGTATATACATAAAACACTTTATGACAATATTTAAATGTGATATATTGTGTACATAAAAGAATGAAAGAAAAGATAATATATTTGCATGCATTCAATACGTATAACAATGTACGACAATATAGAAAGGTGATATACAGGAAGTTTAACAATAGTATATGTTATTATATCAATGTTTTATGAAGTACAAAAATAATGTATGTACTTACACCATTGTATGACATTATATTTAAGTGGGTATACAGTCTGTACGAACAACATTAAATCGTTGGTAATTGTTCAGAAACCGATATAGTCTGATTTGCTATCATCTATATATGATCTTTAATTTGATATTACATGTAGCATGTTGAACGCGTTGAATTTATTCAAAGCGAAAAAGGTCAATATTTCCAAACCGCCATAATTTTCTTTGATACACTTTGTCATGATATCATGAAGATAACTTGATGCTACATACAATATCATATCGGGAAATCTCTATTTATTACATAGTCAGGTATGGTTGCAGGTTAATACATCGTCATTTTACACTAAATAGTTCATCTCTCCCTACATGAATTCCATCTGTTCCTGTCTTTGACAAAAGTTTCTTTGCTTTCATTATGGCTCAGTTAGTGATAGTTTACGATATATTTTAGCACGAAATATGTGTACCTAACATTTAAAACAATAACATCATCATGTATCTAGGTTATCGTTGCCTTTTGGGACACCATATCGATCTTATACCTGTGAGACATTTTTTTCCCCCTTTGCTCATAATTGTTGTTGCACTAGTTTGATTGATTGTTCGTGTAGATAACGGTTACGTAAACACATTGGTGCTCTCTTTTATCCTCTCCTTCTTCCTTTTTTGTATTAGTATGTTTCTAATTTAAATTCCTGTCTTGGATAATGAAAGATGATTCGAGGACGATGAATCCAAAACTAGCAAACAAATGAAATATTAGCAAATACTACTAGAAACATACACAAGGTCACGTTGTAATCAATATGATTTTTAAATGCATACTGACTATTCAAAAATTGGCAGACGAATTGTTTTTTTCTCTTTATAACCGATTTGACTGTACCTTTGGAATTTGATGTTAATGCACTGAACGTTCGTGTTCAGGTAAATATTGTCCAGGAAAGCTGGAGACAAAGGGGATTGGCAACATTTAAATCAGGATAAGTGACAACTCTCCCTTAGCTACAACTGTTTATTTTCTCTGCGTTCGAAATAGCACATCTAGATACTCTTCGGGCTCTAATCTCCAACATAATGTCAAGCAGTGGTAAACGTGTTGTTATCACACCTGATTCTCCACACCATAACTGTCGAGACAGATGTTTATAAATAGGTCATCGAGACAAATATGTATTACACTTTGTATATAACTATTGTGTATCAAACCTCCGTCATCAAATATTGTAAGTTCACTTTGAGGACTTCGAGGACATGCATATCATTTTCTAATATTTAGTTCTAATATATATAACCAAATAATTTGTGCTGTAAGAAGAAGAAGGAATAAATGGAAAACAATTTTTATTGACAATTGCTTCGAGTCTGTCCTCTCAGTGTATACATGTGTGAAACGTATCTTTTAGTATTGAAACAGTATTTTAATACATAAGGATTATACAAAAGTATAAAGGTTTATTCGAATTGAATTTTTGACAAAAACATATATTACTTTAATCCTATAATACCTTGAGCCGAGACAAATGTGCGATATATTTATGATATACATATACACTGTACCCGATCAATGGTTGAAACGATGTTCGAGATTGATAAAATAGTTTGAGAGTTCTTAATAAATTCCACATTCTACCAGTTCAGGAGTTCATTGCTGTTAGTATGTGACCGGGCGGAATACTGTGTTGTGTGCCTTCGGTATGGTATGTCAGTAAGATAGCACTATAAAGTCGGAATCAGATACACGTTATACACAACGAGGCAAACACACCAACATACCCCGTCTCCCCCCC